CCTAAGACGGAGTTTGTTAAAAAATCCTTCCACTTTAGGGCTATTGGTTTATGGAATGACTTACCGCAAAATCTTAAGGCTGAACAATCTTATAATACGTTCAAAACTAAACTAAAAAACTATATGTTACTTAAAAGTATCTGAGTTACCCGTTTTACTGACTATATAGTTTCACCTAAATTTTCCTACAAACTTGTTTTATGAATTTTTATGTAATTGATTTTTTGATATGATTTTATGACCATAATTAAGACATTCATGTATTTCCTGATCTACAGGGTATGAATGATCTTCTTTAAAATGTATTACTACATATTGTGATGTGAATAAACTATTATTATTATTATTTATAAAACTTTGTAATTTACGTCAGAATATTCCACGTGTATGCAACAAGCTATTAGATGTACTTATGTATCAGTTACTTAACAAACTTTGCTAATCAAACAACGAGTAAACAGTCATTTGCTGACGGGATCTGCAGTCTTTTATTGTCGCTCGAGTTTTTAATTATGTTTACAAAAGCTTATGAAATTAGTTTTCCATTTATGAATTGAATTTCTTCAAATTCTCACTCGCATGGAATAGTGAGAAGAACATATAGAAAAAGAAGATCTACTATGTTCGTACACATGCTTCTTAAAAGCCTAAAATATCGACAAAAAATAATATCATAGTATACACACCGGAAGATTCTTAACAAAAGATGTCACCTGTTTTACTCTAGTTCAGAAAACAGATATGTTCAAATTATATGTAATTACATGTATCTTTTTTGACGTATGAAAATTTAGCTAAAAAAACTAGGCAGGACACGAAAGATCATATATCAACTACTAAACAATGTCGGTTATGCCTTGGAGCAAAAAAGCCAATCTGATATCAATGAAACTTCCTATGAAATTATCATTAGAAACATAAATCCTGCCGCGTAGCATTAAACGTCAACCGTTGGAGGCGTTTGGCTGCTGGCACTGGAAAAATGACCTTTCTGCTCTGCTGAAGCTCTCCCCACTTTTTGAGAAGTCTGGAATGAAGTGAAAGGCCAGGACGGAATAGAAGGTGAGGTTCAACTGGGCGAAAAAAATTTCGATTTTGTTCTCCCAACGTCTATCCCTCCTCCTCCTCCAACTTCTTCCTCCTTCAAATGCCTCCAATATTACACGGATCACCAGCACTATTCTTTCACCATCTTCTGCAAACCTCTTTTCTGTCCTTTTTTCCTCTCCTTTCCCTCTTTTCTATCCAAAATATAAAAATCACAATACAGTTAAAAGCCTGCACAAAAAAACAAGTACTTCGATACCACATACTTGCAAACGTACACGAACGAAAACGAGTTATAAAATCAAACTTCTGACCTTAACAAAAGAATAAATTCGTTCCACGTGCAGACTTTAATCTCTGTAATGTTTGAGAACAAATGTAATCTTGGTAATTATATTGGTCACATAAATTATGTAATTTCCTATTTCCTTTCGCAAAGAATTTCTTGTGAGAAAACTCCATCATTTATTTCATCTCGCATTACTACTCTGCTCAATCTATCTCAGATACTCGATCCTGGTCTCCAACAAAGCCGACATCCATTCCACCGAGCAAATTACCATCACCCAGACTTGGGCAAGAAAGAAGAAATGAAATGAAATAAAGAAAATTGAGGATCGATGGAGAGTTATATTACATCCCATAAAATAAACTGACATCCCACTATTGGATTGGATATGGATCTATGCGGTGGGTATACATAAATTCAACATGGACATGGCAAATGTATGTAGGTACGTGTGTATGCATGGAGGAGACGTTAACAAAAACTGAAGTACCAAACAAAACTATATAATACTTATACGGACAACACATATCCAGAACCACGAAGTAATGCAGTGCAAATTGTGTGATATTTCAATTCCACAATATTTTTGTTCTTCAGCTTTCACTCGAGAGGAGGAGGAAATGGAATGAACACGAGGTGCAAATGCGTATTATATACGAACTTTGTCTAGCCAACGTGTAGCTTAAGAATTTGAGAAGGACAGAAATCCAACTTCTTCCAACAGCGAGAAATTGACTTTTTCTCTTGAATTCTTGGGAGTATAGGTCGCTGGGTGGTTGGGTATTTTGTGGTGGAAAGAAATTTCCGTTTCCAGTTGCAAACGAGTGGCATCGCATCTCTCGCCACAAGTTTGGGAAAGATATCAAAGTCGTAAAGATTCCGTTTATGGACTTTTTTCCATCTCGCACTTTGCCCTGTCATCCTCCACCCCACCACCTTTCCCTGCCTTCGATGACGACCGTTTTACTACCACCACCACCCACCGAGGAGTTGTGCTTATGTAAAAGTTGATCTGACTGGTGTGCAAATGCAGAGTGTTGGTTACCTTCGTCTTTCCATGCAATTTTATTTATTTGCACGTTCACACGTAAAAATAGCAGATGAAACATCTCTCAACATGTTTGTATTGTGCAGAACTGAATTTCAAAAAATTATCACATTTTCTCTGCGTATGTGGTTCTTGAAAGAGTGCAAGAAATTAAAATTGTACTTTCTTGTCACAGTTGTAATTTAATATTTTGTTGCACATCCAGCTTTTTGGATGAAAGCAAGCCATAAAAACAGCCAACTTTTTCTTCCTCGTCTTGTAGACTATGCTTTAGAACAGGACAGGACTGAGTAGCACTTAAACAAAAAATTTATTACATTCATCTCCTGTGTTTAATATCTTGTCGCGTTGGTGGGGCTATTAAAAGTTTGGTGGAAATGAAATACAGCACATTCACATATGCCAAAAGAGAAAGACGTTGACATGTTCGTACGTATGTACGTCGTGCGACATACATAGGTGGCCATATAGCGTGTCGTGTAAGGCCGATTTAACTGGATTGTGTAGCATAAAGTATCGACGGCATGTCCCAGAGGGTTGCAGTTCATCTTTGATTTTGAGAGAGTTAAACCGACCGTCTCGTCAATTTGTTTTTCGAGTACTTGGGCGTGATGATGAGCAGTTGGTAGTAGTTGACGTGAGAGATCGATTGGTTGAGATGAGATGGGCTGCCAAAGGGTATTTTGTAGGTCGGAGTTAAATATATCCGGATATAAAGCGTCGCATTCAAGCTCGTAAAGTGGTTCAAGTTGACATAAAGTATCTGGAAAAGTGATGTGTCAGACTTAAGAGCTTTTCTATCACTTTTGACTCGGACTGACTTTTTTGAAAAGTGAGCAGTTTAGTTTAATAGGAGAAAGCAGAGAAAGTTTAATGCTTCTCGGAATAAAAGTAAAGTTTCCTCAAAGTCAGATTACACTTTGCTTTCCAACTCTAGCACGCAAATACGCATTATAACCACCTATGCAGAGATGGACGAAAGCAATAAAAGCTTCTTTTTGTCTTTAAATATCTGCCAGATGAAAAACTTACTCGCGGTGAGATAGTTCTCTTCAATGAAGAGAGAGAGGTGGAATTGTTAAGTAGAAGCGGATACAAAATATATATACTATAATTATTCTGTATTCATACCAATGCCTCCATTTTGTCTGCAAACTTGATTTCATAGACACCTTATTGGCGTGAGCAAATTGAAAATGTGAAGATTTTCTTATTTTTTCTCGGTAGGTTTTTTAATATTTTGTCCGAGTTCCTGATATAAATTACTGCGCAATTATAAATGCTAATTTTAGTTTAAGATAATATTTTTTTTTAAATTTCCCACTTGTAGGCAGTTGTAGGTAGTTAACAAACTCTTCAGCAATTAACCATATTCTATTATTCTCCAAATCTCTTCTTTCTAACTAACTTTAAATAATATTCTTGTGTAAAATAGTGTGACCATGTAGCAGAGTGAGTGTGAGACAGTGTTTAATTTCTAGTTTTATTTGGAATTCTCATTTTATGAGTTGATTTTAGGTATATACATACATATTTGCAATAAAAGGTTGCAATCCCTAAATTTATTTGAATAAAAAATATGCACTGTAGTAAAAGCGAATATTTCTGCTTATGTATGTATGAGCTATACACAACACAAATAAAACAAACAAATAAAAAGATTGTTCAATATTATTATTGCTGGAATACGGAGAGCCCATCAATTTCTCAATGTGGATTTCTGTAATGACATGCTTTGTATGTATGCTGGTCTAAGCGGACTGGACAGTGAATTTTCCCTCGGGAACAACAGAATTGCACTCCATTTATTTAAGAGTTATCCTGTCAGTGATTTATTTTGGTGTGGATTTAAACCATCAAAGTGGGAGAAAGTTGCGGGCACTGGGTTTGATTGGTGGACAACGATAGCGAAGTGAGCTTCTTTATCGGCACCGCGTTTGGACTGCTTGCACCCGACATGGACATCATTATTTATCGTTTTCCCTAAATCCGCAGAGGATTAACCCCCAACCCACCTTCCAAGAATTTATCCCAGTCCATTTCCATCTCTGATGCTGCTGCTGCTGCTGCGGATTTTTGATCTCGCAATTTTTTTCCTACAACTACAACAACAAAATCCGAAAACATTATTCTTCCGGCTATAAATTATGATTTCTGTGCTCAAAACAAAAATCTTTTATTCCAGGAAAGCGCTGGTCTTTTGGAATCTCTATTATTCTCTACACGAACCTTCACTCTCAAGCCTAAATTCCGTTTGACTTGGGCAGCATAAAACAAAAAGGAATTTTGCTTCATGATTTCCTCCGAGACAAAGAAACACTTTCTTTTGTTCTTATTCTTCTTACGTGTCTTGCGCTACTACATAACCATCAAATTCATTAATTTGTAGAACTCTGGAGGCTTAGGCGTTTTGAGTGAGTGAAAGTCCGATCTTGTACACCAAGACAAAGAATGCTGACTCAGGGAGGCGTTGGGTCTAATTAATTACTTTAATTAATTAGAGCTTAGTCTTGTTGAAGTAGGGGCTAAAGAAGATGGCTAGCTTCCAGCAAAACTTTAGTATATTTACGCATAACCCGTAAATGCACACGAAAGTGAAATGTAATGAATCATATCTCACGTAATAATTACAGTTTTATTTTCTTTGTATTGACTCAAAAGTACAACGATATTTTAGCGTAATTCATAAATGTCAATCATTCTCGTGAAAGTCAACTGTATTCAAATATTTTGCAGCATGTGCATTGCTTAGGACGTCCATTCTATTCTTGTCACGAGCTCTTCCAGAAGGACACCATGTCCTCTGAAAGTGGTTGGTGCAACTCTAGAGAGAGAGCAGAGGCGAGGAAGTTGGTAATTAATTACTAATGCAATTAGCACACCTCCATTCTTCTCAGGCTCAACAGACAGCGGTAGTCAGTAGTGTCGAGAGACCGACACTCGCTCATTTCACCCGACAGAATAAGACCCAAGTAAGTTGCAACATTAATAGCAACTAACTTTCTCAGCGGATGGCTCTCTTCATACATAAATAAATTGGGGAAAGCTCAAGGTCTTTACTTGTACATACTTTCGGAATGATGAAACAATTATATATTAATTCTGGAATTACTGTCATTTTCCGTTAGTATAATCTTAATCTCAATGCTTCAAACCCGTTAACTAAAAATGGTTTTACGTGGCAGATCATCCGTATTTGACTATGTTTTTACAAAAAAAACGACGCTTCGGTTCGACGCTTCTAGTTAATAAGATATAGTTTACCAAGATTTGCATAAAAATAAATAATTTTAAATTAGTGTAGAATGACTATTCAACGAATAAATTGTTTGGTTCATGCATAACTTCCGGTTGCAGACACACCACGTTCTGACATTCAGCGTCCAACACATCAACTTTCCACTTATCGATCTGTTTGAGTAAACGTTAGGCCGGTAGATGGGTTCATGTGCGGCGTTGGAGGAAGTGCTGCAGATGAACGTAATCAGTGGGGGTTTAGTGGTTTAGCTTCTTGGCGTATATTCTTGGCGTATATTTTTCTCACACAACGAAGGACTGCTCTAAAATCTCCAATTCCTTGAGAAAAATGTTTGTGTATGACTTTGCGATTTCACATGAAGGAATGAGTCTTTGATCGGCGGCTATCGAATATGCCACATTCCCAGCGTAAGAACCTATCGTCATTCCTAAAGCTGTAAGCCGAAAAAAAGACATGCAATTAAATTCATGCAACTCAAACTAATTATATTAATTAAGACGTGAATATTTTTGGTAAATATTTGAATTGCTCACTATTTGAATCTTTTACCATTCCGCATGTAAAATAAAATCGTTTCACCAAGCTGCCAAACATGTCAATTGGTTGAAGTGGTCCAGCAAAGTTTGAGAAAAATATTTTGTCCTTTTGATATAAACGCTTCATTACTTTTCGCATAATGCAATCAGGCAATGCAGTCAAAATATTAACAGCATAAACTGAAAATATTGTCAATGTGGACGACTTTGCCAGAGCGAGAGCTTTCTCAATTTTCAAGAGTCTTTGGACAGAATCCTCTTCACCAATCGGAAGCATAATAGAAGTGACCATGCTAAAAAATTTTGATTATTCACAGCCTTTTAGTGCACATAATAATATAAATGATTGAATAAATTCTTAATGTATGTACATACGCATGGTTTCGTAACTTGTCGCTACGCCTTGGCAGTGGAAAGTTGACTTGTAGTGGAACATCAGTCAGTTTGTCCTGTTCTTGAGACTGCAACATAAACGTTCTTACGACGGAACACACTCCAGCCAAAATTATTGACGTTCCGGAAGAAACTCGATACTGTTGACTGAGCTCTTGAATTCGTGAAAATGGAAATTCTCCGGAAACAGAACCAGAAAATGTCCCATCTTCCTCGCTTATTGTGGGCAATAACTTTTTCACAACGGAACTCTGCGATGCTTTCTTATTCAATACTTGTTTTCTCCACAATACTTTTCCAGGCTTCATTTTCGAATTGAACATAAATATTCCCAAGTCATGTGGGAGTTTAACCAAGAATTTGAACCAACGACACAAGTTGCCACCAATCATGTCGACGTTTGACTTTGGATGTAAAATCACCTTATTGGTGAGTGCGAATTTGTCAAAGAGTTGTAGCAAGGATAATCCATCGCCTAGGCTGTGGTGACAGCGGAAAATAAGCAAAGAGTACTTTTCTTGCAACTCCAGCTCGGAAGGTTTATGTGTTTCATTGTCGAAATAAAAATTTGGCACTATCCGCAACTCCCACAACGCACTCGACTTGCTGAATGGTCTCAGCGACATAGTTCTTAAATGATGTGAAAGCTCTGACGCAGTGAGTTCACTATTTTCAGAGTCATCAAAGTAATTAATGTGATCTTCAAGCTTGAAATCTTTTATTGGTTTCCAAAAGCTGTAGCCCATCCAAGTTGTAATATTTTGGCCAAGTTCGGGGTATTTCAAGTTTCCGTTTGAATCTCTTGCTAAAATTGCTTCCTTTTTTACAATTTCTCGAATAGATTGTAACTCAAGGTTGTTCCCCTCACAAACTATTCCAAGCACAATTGTCATCCTTGGGTTTTCATATAAATCTTCTGAAGCCGCAGGAATACTTCGACTTGATAAAACTTTCCCCATTTCCGGTTTAAAGATGCTCGCACAAATCACAATTTGCTTATATGCAATAAATGGTAAGAACATTGCAATAACTAAAGGTACACTTGTTAAAAGTAAAAATAAAGTTGCAACATAAATCACGATAGACCAGAAAAAATTCCAGGCTCTTCTAAATATCCCCATTTTCCACATATATTTTTACACGTATGTTTTTTGTATCAAGTTGGTAAAAATATAACGTGAATCTTCAGCACTTTTATGATTTACCTGCAATTCTTACGTATTCACGTACAGCGCAGCAAGTTTGCGTTCACATGACTTGAAGAACTAAAACTGAATGGCCTTTCCAAACAAAATATATTCGCCTTAACCAAGTTTTAGCAAATTAAGGTAAATGTGTGTACACCTTAGTTTTACCTGCATTTTCTCTTCCGTGTTTAATATCTCTCAGCCGTGGGAAATGATAATGCAAATGACTAGGAGCACATCCATACGGTATTCTTACCGCCTAGTTCTTCACAGTGATAAGTAAGCTATCCATTATTTAGTAAAGCAATGTAATTATTCGCAACTAGCAGCAGCAACGCATTGTATGCAGTCCCCGCAATAATGTAATAAGTGTCTTTTTTAGCATACACGTGGGCACATCTCATAGTTTGCATGGAACCACTTCCGAAGTTCAGGCTCGATGTTTTGCCTTTTATGCCTTGTAAAAACTCCTATAATTAATTAATTAATTGTGACAAATTTATAAGGAAAACGAGTTAGTCCAATTTTATAAAGTTCTTTTGGCAAATTGCAAAAGTTTTTTGGTATATTTTTTACACTTTATCCACCTTCATACGATAAACCAGGATCTTGTTTGCTGGCAATTTTGAATATCCACCCACCACAAACGTGTTTAGCTACCTAATATTAGTAAAGTACCTTTGTAACAAGGTACAATAATGCACGTGCAATAAATGGAGGATTTACAATGGGCGTGTTAAAATAAGGGATAATTGCCGGTATTATTCTCCACCACCCCAACCATTATCAGCTCATACATACCTCTGCCATATTCCATCAGCGTCCCTGATTTCTGTGAAGCATGTGAGAATACAATTGAATTGGGCAGGTAAATGGTAACTAGCACTCCATCCATGCATGCATCCAAATGCGCGATGCGGATATGATGATATGCGGGCTTCTATTATGGAGTAATCCTTGTAAATTTGTTGTTCACTTAATATTTACTACGCACCACACCGCGAGTAAACTAACCAGGCACGAGCGTAAACGTAGGAAATCTTGGTATGCAGCTATACGATGCAAAAAGTGTATCGTGTACATTTTGTAAGGACGACGACAATAGTGCGAGTCGTAGAGAACGTAAAAGCCTCCTCGCATTTCGAAATGCGAAAGAGAGGAGTTTACAATAGTGAGTGCATTACGAGGTTTTGTACTTTTTGGAGCTTTATTTTGTTTTGTTTTGTGTTTTGCACTATTTCATGATAATGAGTGTGGAATCGCCCGAATCCGCTCCAGCAGCCCATTAAGCAGGCACTTTTAATGATTACCTAACTTCTCCTGGGCGTATACTACTTGGCTTGAAGCAATTAGCCAAAATTATACTTGTGTAATGAGCCACACCACCACTGAATGGGATGTCGTGCAATTTAATATTATCCTACCAGCCAAGCCACGTCATAATACTATAACGACAACAAATACCATTATTTGAACAACAGCGACAGCAAACATGTCGTATAATGAATGATGTATGGCTTTGAGGAGCAGTAAACCCTATCATGTGCCTAATGCAATTTTTCTTGGTGAGCTGCTTTCCGCAAATGATGTAATGTCTCACCAGAATTAACAGTCGATCAACGGATGGATTGGCAAACAAGCAAACAATGCGGATAATCAGTAGCATCCGGTGAATCTGGACATGTGTATCTCTCATGCCCAATTTCAACCTCGATATATCGCAAAACTTATGTATTACATACCACTCCTACGTAGATATATATTAAAGATTACTGTGTTGCGTATGAGAAATTGGAGCTATTTGTTTCTTTTTCCATATTCTGAAATTGTGAACCAAATATCTTATTGTTTTTTCATCCAAATACACATCTCGATTTCAGAATATCCATTCTTGAATTGTTCTCCATCCATCTCTCTCTCTCTCTCTCTTTCTGTTGCTTGCGAAAAGGGTACCTAGAGGTAGATTGTGTGAACATATGTCCCTCTGGAGAAATATGTAGCACGAAATGTAGTAGCGGTATTCATCCTGCTACCTTACTTTCAATTTCTGTCTTCTTGAGTAGTGTCATAGACATGCAATGCCAGTCGGATAAAGTAAGACAGACCAAAGCCCTCGAAACCCTTTCTTTCTATTTCCTAGCCTTATTTTTCTCATGTCTTCTCTTGTCTCTCTCTCTCTCTTCAGCAAAAAAAGCAACATAACGTTGCACACACCAAGTTATATGAACACATCAATCGAAATCAACCCATCAAACTCCTTACCCTACTAACCTTATGGTCGCATCAAATTTCCATTCTTCTCAGCCCTCGCCGTCTCCTCTCCTTCCATTTCATCCATCCATTCCAAATCGGAAGATATGTAACTTCCGGCCCAGAGCAGGAAATGCTTCTTCGTAATCGTAATACCCAAAAACCCATGCTCCAGGTTATCTTTACATTCTTGATCCATCCACCTTACCCTATCTCCAGCTCCCTCCATACTGCTGCTCCTGCTGCTGGCCTCACTTTTACCCACGTAGCGTAATTCAACAACAATATCATGACCAGAGAAGGAGACAAGCCAACGACTAATACCAGCAACGTTGGGCTCATCACATCATCCACCCCTCCTCCTCAATAGATAATACCTTTGGTCTCGCTTCATTTCGAAGCGAACCGAACCTTCGTTCATTTATGAAGGAAGGAAGCAGGAGATGGAGAGAAACGTGACAGTTATCTGCTTAAATCCCCAAACCCCAAAAGTTAAGGTTTTATTTTGCTCTCTCTTCTATTCGAGATTCCACGAGGGAGCTGAGTACGAATAAGCAACCAAACACACAACACACACATATTCATACTTCTGTACGAACGAACGAAGAAGGCAGAAAGCAGGCTACGTAACGTCCGTATTAAAGGGAGCACGAGAGAAAGAGGGCGAGTGAAGTTGAAGTTGGTTCGCGTTGAATAAAGCTCAAACGGAGCTCACGAATTCAAACAGTCTTCTCAAAGCCGTCGACCCACACACACGGATCTCATCTCGCTTTGCTGGGCCACCGGTGCGGTGCGTGCTTCATATAAATCAGTCCTTAAACAGTGACTGCCTAGGGTTGAGAGCCGTCGTGGTGACTTTAAACCCTACAAAAAATACTCTTACTACAAATTGCATTGTGCTCTTGAAAAACTGTGGCTACGAAAAAATAGGCATAAAAACGACCAATGACCAAACCCTTAATGAATACTGTGTAGAGAGCGCACTTGCATAAGGGGACACATGTTGGAATAAAACTCATCTGTTGCATCAGAGTGTAAAAGGTGGTGCAATTTAAAAGGAAGAGGAACGCTGCTGTCGTCCTTAACGTGTGTCAGCTGCCCAATGGGCTGAAGGAACTCAAGTAGTCGTGGTAAAATAAAGGGAGAAGAAAAAGCAGGAGAGAGAAAGTGCAAGGCCGAGAGAGGATTATTTTTGAGTGAGACTGGAAATTAGAAGAAGGGTCTCGCAGTCTCATCTGTTGTTGGTTGCATGCTACTTTTTACTTCCAATCTTACATGCAACTTGTGCTTCCGGAATCAATCATTTTGCTACCAGGATATTATTACTCGACTATAAGCCGGTTATACCCTAATTTTGTACAAAATTGAATAAAACAGCAACGGGAACTTGTACATATTTATGATCCGAAACAACTCTACTACTACACACACATAATTCATATTTTTACGGACTTATTGCTACATACAACTTTGTGAGAGAAAGTGAATTTTTGAATTAATCTCAACTTTCATGCTGCAACTTTATTACCAAATTTAATTAGGTGTGCCTTGTATATTACAATCTTGTGCAAAATATTGTGTGCTAGCTAATCGCATTAAATTACATTTACGTACTTATTAATGTACCGTTTACGGAGTTGAGTTGAGTTATTAAGTGGTGCGATAGAGAAAGAGGGAGAGAAAAGACAAAATCTATCCTCACTCAAAACTTTTACAATGAAAATGAGGTGGAGCAGCATGGCGTTGACGGGACTCTGGATATTTTCTATCACATTTCTATTCGGTAAGTACAAGAAAGTACAACTCGCTTTGACTCTTAAGTAGACAAAATTATTAGGGTTCTCGCATAGCCAACTTCGACTTATGAAATTTTCAGAGGGGTGTATCGATGACGTGATTGATCATTAAGCTCTCCCGTGTAATCGTCATGCCATATCGACATGCATTTTTAAATTCCAATTGCATACTTCCAAGCTAAGCCTTATTTGATTTCGAGCGATTTTCTCCTCTGATACGTAGATTGTGCATAATAAAATAGCTCCATACACTACTCTCCACTAGCTAAATGCTGCGTACATAAATACACGCCAAAGTATGTACAATAACGGCCCCTCTGCAAATACTGATATCCCTACTAGCACATTGCCAGTGCAGATTTTGTACCGATGTGCCCCATTTCTCGGTACCGATTGTGTAACGATTTCGTGCTGGCACAGGGAAATCGGTACCTTGCCGGCACAGTTTAGCTACAAATTTTGGGTACCGGGACTGTTCCGGCAAAACTGTACAAAAATGGTATCGGTACATATGTACGGTTCCACCTGTACCAAAACTGTGCCGGTAAGGTACCGATTTCCCTGTGCCAGCACGAAATCGTTACACAATCGGTACCGAGAAATGGGGCACATCGGCACAAAATCGGCACTGGCAACATGTACCGGAACCGCACAGGTTGTGCTGGTAGGGATTGAATTGAAGTTGGGCCATAAAATTAACATAATCTTAGAACTCGATTACTTCATTTTGCTTGTCAAATGCAAATAATAATAATAAATCGTTTCGGGTGACTGGTTCCTCACATTAAGTAAACTTCCTTCCTTTTATACATAACCATTGAGGCGAGTTGAGAAATCGTTACTTTGACCTTACACACACACATACGTACTTAAGACGTCGAAGTATGTAACCACATTACGTATAATTGGCTCACATGACCACTATTATTCCACGTCTTTGGCAATAAAGTGTGTCAAAGTGTGTTAATCCTTGAATGGTTATTTGGTCAATTGTACATAAGTACAAGTTGGTCGTGGTGGGTGGACGGATGGATCGAGAGGGCTTGCGAATTTCCTCTCTGACATAATGAAAAGTTCATAATAGTTCATTCTGAACAGTGGCATTGTTTATTTTCCTATGAATTACCTTCTTACGTGTCATGTCACCAGCTGCTGTCCGCAAACTTTTGGTTTATTGTATGAGTGCGTTGAGTAGACTTGATTAAAAGGAACACGGTATATGTGCTCCAAAAGGAATAATAAGAAAGTAAGAAAGCAAGGACGGAATGAACTCCGATGAAGCGTTTTCTTTCTTTTAATTATAAATTATGAGTGGTGAACTATACTTCTCGGCTACAGAGCGACTTTCGAGCTGAGCCAAGGGTTTTGTATAATACTTTGCACGTTGTTGCGAGCGAGCGAGTTTCCTCCTTCCGTGGTTCGACGATTGAATTGTGTGATTTAATTCTGCTTTGCATTTTAAATTGGCTGATCTAAATTACCCTTAAGAAGAAGTTCGACTTCTTGGAGGCAATTCATTAACTTATCTGAATTACGGTATGGCATGGCTGCTGCCGGTGGTGTGGAGCGTTAAGTTGAAATCATGTGTTTGTACATAGTTCTCTCCTACATATTATAGCTGGCTACCTCGCATTCATAACTCAGTGAAATCTTGAGCTTTATGAAGCCATTAGAGCAGTAAGAGTGCAGTAAAATTTGGTAATGAAGGCAAAAGTCAGTTCCCTTTAGTTTAAGTTGAGTCAACTTCTCTCAAGTCAAGTTCTTGTGGGGCTTCTGCTGCTGTGCCGGTTGGCAATAGGCGCACTCTTTACATAAAAAATTAACTTTTTCAATGAAACCTTGAAATCGTAGATGTAAAAATAAGGAGTGAGCAAAATCCCAGCTTCCCGTCTCACCCACCCACAACCACCACGACCAGATGCAAAGTTAAAACCCAGTGTTTTCCTCCGCCATGCAAACTTTTTACATGGAAGTTGGCAGACAGCATTTGTATTTTTAGATCAAGTCATTATTGGGACTGAGTCAAAGTACATAAATCAGCTCAGCGATACGGGCTTCGCTTAGGCATGCTAACTGAATTCAACAAATTGTGCCAAAATGCTCTTCACAAGTGGCTGATTCACAATTGCAATTATTTCAGAATGACTCAAAGGAAAGCGTATGTATGCCGTCGTATGTAGTGCAATAATGCGAGGTTAAGACGTATGCTTACATTATACAATGACCACCAATTGAGACGAGCATAAATATTTAAGTTGTCGAGTTTTGTAAAATCTATACGCTCGTCACAGCGTGGAGAGAGGACGGCCGAGAGACAATAATAAATTATGATTTTCCTGCTATAAACTCGCGGAGGTCCGCCGATGAATGCGATGGTGTAATATACTGCGGTGAGGCTGTCATCGAATTGACATAAATGGGAAACCACGTTGTGTAAATTTGTCCGATAGGAGAGACTTAATTCAAAATTAATTTGTTGACTCTCTACCTTCACATGGACGTACATGACGCATACCATTTCCTAGGTACGTACGTACGTATTTCCATTTATTTTCTGATACAAGGAGAGGGTATCGCCGCGTCTCAAATTAAAACTTTACCACTGGACGCCTTTGTTGTGTGTGCCCTTTGTTCCTTCAAATTACGAACCTCGCGTACGCTCATATATTTATGCACTGTATCGCTAATAGTAGTAGTGAAGCGAAACAAGTAAAAGCTTTTTCTGACTTCGGATGGGAAGCAGGCTGGAGCACAATAAAAGTAAAGATATGCACGGGGCTGCGTTTTAATGGAAATTTGATTCCTGCAAAGTGAAAGCATGTCATTTTATTCCTGCCCAAAGTTTTCATTCTGCTGCCACTCTCATTAAAAACAAAGTACAAACAACTGCAAGTCTTCAATCATATTCATCACATGGCTGGTCGTTCCTTCTCATTTTGCATGTACGCAGTTACATAGCAGTGTAGAATAAAGTGCAGTATTCAGGGAGACAGAGCAGAAATAACGAAATGGAAAAAGTGGAATCACTCGGGAACAGAATTTGTTTCAGCTCAACAACCAGAAATCAACTCCGTTTAACTTATTTAAACTTTGTTGACGTTATCAAGTTGACAGGGATAGTTGGTGGGTTGGGTTGGGTGGTGTTGATGTTATGACGAGACGTAATGTGGTGACATGTTCATTTCATCCCTATTTTCGTTCCCTATTTTGCCTAAACTCCACGTTGCTGGATGGATGTGGACATTTAAGTGACAAGGACGGGCACAAATTCAACTCGAGTTTCAATTCCCTTGCTTTTACGAAAAAAACAGAAGGAAACCATGAGTGTCATTTCACACCCTGTAAACTTGAAACATGTTGTTTATGAATAATAAAACTCATCTCGGCTGTGGCTCCCTGTGTGTATGTACATAATACCGGTACATATGTATCTAGATTGCACATACGTATGTATGCATATTTAAAACAAGTGCAAGCTTTTCATTCCATCCAACTAGATAACCAGCCACCCACCATGATGCATATAATAATAGCACTTTTCGGTAGTATGTACATATAAGAGCTGCTTTACTTTATAAGTTTGTATATTTGTGCTAAAAGAAGAAGGGGAAACGTCGGGCTGCATTTATTTTATCAAGAAAAGTCATACGGCTTTATATTTGTCATAATAAAAATGCAATGAAAATAAAACGGATCCTCCAGATTCGGATTTGCATTTGCATCACAGGATTTTGGGGAGGATGAAGGAAACTTAAAAAATGCACAAACACTTTGGCCTGGGCTGGATGGCATAATGAAAATTTTAACTGCCAAAAATACACCGGTGTGGTCTTTGGTGATGTGGTTAGTTTTGGGTTATAGGATTTTTCCTGCAAAAGGTAGAATGTAGACACCATGGAGGTAGACTCGCATGTTTCTCATCCACCTACCCAAACTGCCTTTCTTTTCGTCTCGAACCCAGCAAAGAAAGAGGCTTTTAGACGCAGCATGATGATGTTCATGGTTAAGTATTCTTTTTACAGCTTCAACTTTACGTTCCATTACTTAAGCTATGCGATTTATATAAGTTTATTGCAAATGTAAATATCCTGCAAAATTTTGCAATATCTGCCCCATGACGTTTATAAAGGCAGCGAAGGCAGCAATAATTTCTAGGATGTAGGACAAAAATGAGAGGCTTTCATTTTCATTTATTTGTTCAACATTTCCAAGTCAAATATTGCTGAGCCAGTGCCCATTGAAATTCAATTCAGGCTACAATCTTATCTCTCTCCATCTCTCCTCGTAATTTGGAAGTTCTGTAGGGATTGGGAAGGATTGTAGTCATAATCAAAATAATCAAATCACATCTTTCTCTCTCTCTGTCTTTGTTTTTTGCCAAATTTACAATTTACAATTTACCGAGTCGTGAACTGGATTCAAGATTGGGGATTTGCATTAGAAAAAGAATTAAAATTCTGTACCACGATCGGGATACAATTCCATCAGAGTGGCTCGTGAGACGCAAAAACTCAACTGGGGTTTGACTGCCATATTATACAATCATTGACAGCCTGACAGTAATAATGCATTGGGCATATCAGATAAATATCAAAATTCAACGAGTTACTGGCTGCGTTGTCAATGAAATTTTTCATTAATTGCACAAGGTTCTAAATTCCTGTGTATGATTGTCTTAAGTGTTCTAATATCCGAATAACCTAATGGACCGGACTCTGCCAGGTGCAGCTTAAGCCAGTAGCTTGTTTTCTCAATGCAAACAAAAATTCGATTTGCTACACCACGAGTACTTAAATCTTTCTTGTAAATGATCCAGTCCAGCGCATCACATGCTCGTTCATACTACTCACCACGAGTATACATATGTAGGTATATGCAAATCAGGCGATGACATGATTTACTTATTAAGACTTTTAACTCGACTCAGCAGCCTCCTTGCTTGCTATTTATTGTGTCTTGTCAAACATTTTTAAGGTAAAAACAGTGC